CAAGTATAAGACGATAAGAGATCCTACTAATACAAGCGACGTTACTCAAGAATGGCATTATCCCGAAAATGACTAGACATTCGTGTAGAAATGAAAGGAAAATATTTATTTTGTGATACGTAATATTTGTGTTCAAGTCGAGTGCGAACGTTTCGATGTTGGTGTTGGTATTGATGTCAAATTGAAGATGGGAATAGTAAAGTTTTATTGCAGACCTATTTGTGATCATTCTAGATTCTGAGAAATATCTTTCGATATTACGCTACTTAGTGTCTTTTGGTGAGAAATTGACGATAGACTAGAATATCTCTCCACTTTTACTTTTCCCTCAGGTAAGTTAAGGGCCGAAAGGGTGTCATATTTCACAAAGACCGGGCTACTGCAATCTCTGATATATCACAATCTTTAAATTGATGTTGTTAATAACCCTTTTTAAGGGAGGAAATCATCCAATGACTTCTCCCACCCGGGTGAGGCGAGAGGGAGTGTCAGACTCCTCTTACTCACTAAAAACTACCCGGTTCCTACTCCTGCTTTGAACCGGGAGTTACCCCGGTTACCTTACCCGTTGAATTGTCCACATCTTGTATTTACTACCTGTACTAGATAGTAGGAATTATCATCTTAATTAGATACATACATCGTTTTAATAACCAGAACAACTTCTAACCGGTCCAATTCAAAATCATCTAATTCATCTCAAAATAAAATTGTAATAACTTACGCTTAAAACCATTACTTCTACATCTACATATTAATTAATACATCTCTAAACGCGATCGTGTGGTTTCATCGGTCCAGTAAACGGCAGCTCTCTATGTGAATGGGCTGTCAAATCCAGAAACAAACGAACACCGCAACATCCAATTTTCTAATCGACTTTCGCAGAATACATCTCTTTGCCTCCAATCGGCAGGCATCGTTTTAATTAACTCTATGTTCAAGATCCATTTATAGTAACGATTGATTTTATGTTGTATCTTCAAAAATAACAGAAAATTTTACGCTTTTCTTACTCTTAAGAGGAATGTAGCCTCATCTGCCATCAGTAATCTTATATCTTATGTCGGAATACTCAAACGGTACTCAATTTTAAGTCGTGCTTAAGTATAGTTCTGTCTCTACAAATTCTTTGTAAAATGACAGAGATGGCACGATATTTAAGCACGACTTAAAATTGAGTAACGTTTCAGTATTCCGGCATTATACTTCTTATCTTATATCGTTTGTATTTTTGTTTGTTTGTTTGAACGCGCTAATCTCCGTAACTACAGATCTGATTTGAATAATTATTTTTGTTTTGTATAGCGCATTTTATCGAAAATGGCTATACCTAGGCTATAAAACATCACGCTACGACCAATAGTAGTTGAGCAAAGCGTGCGAAACCGCGCGGAAGTAGCTGGTGAATTATAAAAGAAGACTTTCCTTCTTTTATTAACATATATTTATATATACTTATCGCAACCGGGACTTTTACTAAACTACGTCACAAAAAGACATCGCATTTAATTATCAATAAATAAACAATTTCTACAATAATAAATAAACGTCAGCGTCATTAATTTATCATCTTTATAGCACATCCGCGGATCTCAGTGTTAAATGTCAGAGGTGCATTGCAAACGCATAGCACTTTCTCGACGCCATTACGTGACGTCACTGCACCGTATGTCATAATATTGACCGACCCCGGAGTCAGTAGGTTATCGCGAGTACCCCCAGGATCGATGCACGACAGTGTACGCACCGCGTATCGTGTTTACAATTAAATTGCAATTAATTGTAATAATTTACTACATATTTAGTTATCAAAGAATTACTGCTGGGCTTTATAAAGATGCGATGTATTTCTATCACTTCTCGGAAAGGTCAGGAGATGTCTCGTGCCAAAAGGTTATCAACAGCCGGTTGTAAAACCTAATTAATCTTTAAGAGTACTTTTTTTTCAATAAAGTATTTTTCCTTAAGAAATATCCTGACATTTCTGTCATCTGTCTCTTCCACAGCGTATTCTGGGATTTTTCCAGATTACGAATTGTTGTTGTTTTAATTCGGGATCTCGTACCTATTTCTGGCTTCGATTTAAATGGAACTGATCGGTTGCAAATTGACAATTAAGGTTCCTTACTACCGGGAGTCTTAAATACAACTTTTGTAGGAAGATGTGTTTACTCTTTTTCAATCTTCAGAAAACAAATAATTTGCCTACATTAGTCTGAATTCGTAACATGAGAACATTACTAATATAATTTTGATTTAAAGCAAATAGTTTAGTAAGTCTTCCACATTTACAACTTCATAAACTTAATTAATTCGTACCGCAGAGCTGCTACATAAAATAAGACCCGGTGAACGGCCGCGGAAACAGTTGAATTTTTCATTTGTGCTTGGAGACTCGGACCAAGGCATGAGATGTTCAGCCAACGAGAATTAAGCCCCTTAATGTAATAATACCTAGTGACTACCTACTGCCCCCTAAAGCCTGCCATTACCCGAGCGAATTTGGCTCGTATGTAACTTTTAATTAGGCGACTTTGAACAAATCGTGTATTCCGTTTGTGCAAAAAGTACCTAAATGTGGTTTTTGTAAGCTACATACTGTTATAAAGTTAATTAGTACAATGACATTATTTAAAGTTGGTATAAATGTTTCGACGAGTTTTCCGTAAAACCATTAATTAGCTATACGAAAACACCTAGGTACTTAAAATTTTGTCATTCATGGTGAAAAGTTCTAAGATGTTCTAATTATTCTCGTAATTTTAAGATTTTGTCTTTAACACCGAAAATTGTATGTTAATTTTCTTGTAAGATACTTATGAAGCGTTCCATTAGCGTCCCGTAATAAAATAAGCGAAGGCAAGTGCATTTTAATAAAGATTGTCTTCATTTTCGGGTAATTTAATATGGCAATACTTATGTTGATTTTCGCATCAGGATTAATATTTCATACGAAATGAAACTACCTGAATGAGACATTGTGAAACAGACTTTAAAACTTAGAAGAAAAAGTCGGAAGTTAGTTAATAAACCAACGAATATATTACGCTCTACTTGTCAATATTATGCTACGGATTGGTGATCATCTTGATTCAAAATATCAATATGTTTCCACGCCTCAGAAAACACGTAAACCCGCCTCCAGATTGTGGGACAATAATCTATAAACTCTATGACTATACACGCATAGTCAGGGGCCCGGAAATCTAACAAAGGATCTAATCAACAATAGTGTATTATCGAAATGAATTTAGGCGTAGTATCAAAAATAGTGGTTGATGGAAAATAGCAGAAAAATGTTTTTAATCTCATTCTTTTTCTAACATAACATAACATCATGCCTTTTATCCTTGAAGGGTAAGGCAAAGGTGCACATTATGGTACTTGATACAACTGTACAATAAAATAAATACAAATAAAATAAATAACTGGTACTACTGGGAAATATTTCAAAAAAAAACCCAGTAATACTTTACCTGATCCGGGAATCGAAAACGAGACCCCTTGCTAGGCAGTCGTACTTACGAAAACTCGGCCAACGAGGCAGTCTTCAATTTTTTTTCTAAGCAAGTAACAATATAAAAACTAGCCATTAGTGGAAGGTTTAATTTCCATCAAAGAACGGTCTCGACGGTCGGCCCCAAGCCCGGTTGAAATGAATAATGCATGTACACAGAATGTAATACTCATTCGTGGCAACTGCCGGGAAAATGGACCAACCACAAAGTGCTACGAAATTGCCGACATTGTTCAAAACATGCTTTATTTAGTATTTTAGCACACGTATTGTTAATTCAAGAGACAATTAAACGTGAATACTTTCACATAATGATGGCTGTTCATGAAACGTGTCAGCGATTTGAACACGCGTAATTGTGATTAATGGGCAGCTTTATTTAATTTGAATTGTGGAACGGTGAAGGGTTGCCAACCTTTTGTCTTTGTTTTGCTTTAATTGAAAATTATATTTCTATAACATGATCGGTAATGGAGTTTATAATTGAAGTTTCTGTGCCCTTATTATACGTAAAGTCATGCTAGATCTATTACAATTTTGTAGATAAAGTGATATTAAGTCTGATTTCAATCTAAAAACTTTGATGAACTCAAAATACTTAAAAATAGTCTTAAAACTTAAAGCAAAACTGAAAACTTTTCGAATTATTGTAGCTTGCATAAGAAATTAACAACTTAAATAATTAATCACTAATTATGGTAAATTATAAATGGCAATTTGTAGTTGGGGAATTACTTTAAACTTAAAGAGTACCTAAAATTGATTTCGGGACTTATTGATGAGACGTAGAAGTACATTTATTGTTTATGAAGGTCATTTGGATTTTAGTGATGTTGGTGAACATTTTCGCCTATCTATTTTGAATACCTAAGCTACTTTTACTAATGCTATATTTCAATTTACCTTTGTCTTACTTAACACTAGTATAATTATAACCAGAACTCGTTAGATCTCATATTAATAGATTTTCCTATTTGCCTATATCCCTTTGATGTGATTTATCAAACGGAATTCCGTTCGTATTCAGATAATTATGTATGGTATCTATTCAGTACCGCAAATTTTCCTAATTAATATTTTGATTGAATGTATTGCAACTAAAATAAATTGTAATTAATATACCAAGTGGAAGCGTCTGTTGTTTCATTTATTAATACTGTGTGAGTGATAATATTGGATTGCTAGTTAGTCGAATAGGCACCTATGTTTTAGTTGACAGCGAGAACTGAACAAGATCCAATTACCTAATAGGATGCCTGACAATTTCACATTGACGTAGTACACAATAACTGTGTCCAAAGTTTGGCTTACCTCCTATCTCTGTGACAAGTCTCTCAACTTATGTATTAACAGGTCTAACAAACATGTAATACTTAACTAGTGGAGATTTGCCAATAATTGCCTCGATAGGAGCTCGATTGTTATCTTTATTTTTCTGTGAGATCGATGCCCATATTGTGGAAATCATCCTTTATTGAAGTCGTTTCTTTTCTCCAACAGACGATGACCTGGAGCTGCTGCTGGATGAAGTGGTGCGCGCGAGCAACCGCGGCGTGTCAGCTTCGAGGAACATCACTGGAGGACCTAACTGGAGTTTTGGACAGTCGCTGTTCTTCTCATCCACTGTTGTTACTACCATCGGCAAGTGTCGTATTGATCTATTATACCCGTATTTACCAAACTATCCTAAATTTCAACAACATTTGACAACATTACACAACATTGACATTTAACAACATTTTGGACCAAACAGTACATGTAACTCTTAGGTAAGAGGTGGTTACCAAAAATGGCCTTAGACCTGTATTGATAAGAGTTGTATATAGTTTTTTACACTGAAATTACATGCTAAATGCTTTACCCGGTCTAAAATCGAACCGGTAGTATAGTTTCAAGTAGTTTGTGCTGTGCACGTGCAGGAAAAAAAAAAAAACAACGAGTATATTCAAAATCCAAAGAAATGAAGCTGTTCGTCAGCGTGACTTGATAACTACAATCTAAAAACTACATTATTATCTTCTAAACATGCCTTTTCTTTCTCCCTTCCAGGCTACGGCCACGTGACTCCCCTCTCGAAGCCTGGCAAGCTGTTCTGTATGATGTACGCGCTGCTCGGTATACCGCTGACGTTGGTGCTGCTCTCAGCCCTAGTGGAGCGCCTGCTTCTACCAGCAACTGCCTTACTACGCTCTCTCAATGCTGCGCTCGGACATCTGTACCGACCCTTCACTATACGTCTAGTGCATCTTATGATTATTGGTAAGACTCGTATTAACTCGTCGAGTACCGGTTTTGTAGACACAATTATAGAACAATAGGTTGCGGTCACCGGTGACCGCTTGGTGTTTGACAGTTTAATTTTTAATTTTAAATGAATACATATCATCGGATTTTCGTTTTAACTTACATATATAAACGTATAGTCGAAAATGTCAACCACTCGTTCTAATTCCCATCGCGAGACATTATAAACTTAGTTGATGTGCACAATGCACTTAATTGTATCTTAATGTTATAGAAAGGAATTTTGAAACTGAAAAAAAAAAGATTTTATCAGGTTCGTGTTTTTATTGTATGTCTAAACATCATCATAAAAAACAAATATTAATTTTCATTTACGTTCCACAGTGACAACTCTCGTGCTATTCTTCCTGGTGGTACCAGCGTGTGTGTTCGCCTACGTCGAACCTGACTGGGACTTCCTGGACTCGTTCTACTACTGCTTCATATCCCTCACCACCATCGGACTGGGCGACTACATCCCTGGCGATTCCCCCGGACAACCCTACCGACCTCTCTACAAAGTTGCTACCACTTGTAAGTTTTTTTTTAGATTGGCAACATTATTTTTTTAGGGACCGTTAACCCCTTCGCACATGACATTTTCCTGGGTAGGTACTTACTTGTTGTAATACGCGCGTAGGATGAGAGCAAAACGAGAACCTAAGTTGGTACTTAAATTGAAACGATGTCGTAATTGTCATTACGATTCTGAACGTTGAAGCGATATGTTTACGATACTTACCTACGTGAATAATGTAGACTGACTGACGATTGCCCTTAGTACGACAGATTACACAAGATAATCGTTTATTTAAATGCGATTAGCCTAGCCTTGAAGGTAGTTACACAATTGTACAATATCAAATTCAATCTTTTAACACGTAACTTTTACTCTTCCAGTCTACCTTCTCATCGGCCTGACATTCCTGATGCTGACACTGACGGTGTTCTACGACATTCCGCAACTGAACCTAAGCACGGTGTTCTCATCTGTGAAGATGGACGATGACCCGGAGAAGATGAGGCTTAGCGGCTCTGGAGTAATGGGACCTGGGTATGGGATTGGTGGGCTGGTGATGCGGGATGACTATAATCACCACGACCAGCGCCGCTCCGTCGTCCACATCCGACCACACCTGGACGACAGCCCCAGTCCCGAGGACACCACGCCCGTGCATGCCCGCGATATACGAGTACACTAAACAAAACTGCTTCCCCACAAAATCTCGGTCGTCATCTCGTTGGCTAGTTGGTGCTATTGGATGGAACAATGTGGAACGAACATTATTCAATCTCACCCTCCCCTAAATCTTCTTTTTATTTTTTCAAATAAAAACGAATTCGAACGTTGACACTCGTTCTACATTGTCGCTGGTCCGAAAAATAGCAGCCAGCGTTACTATTCGACGTTTGCTCATGTCAAAATTCCTTGAAGATGGAATGAAAATTTAAAAAATATGATGAACAGGCGCGGTAGTAGTTAAGTAGTTATCTTTACTGTAATTAAGTTAATTATAAGTTCGTTGTTTAATGTTTATTGTTAAGTTAATTGTCAGAAATTTAAATTGGTGTAACTATTACCTATAACCTATCTTATTTCGATCCCTGCGTCGACTACCGTCCTAAAATGCGTGTTTATTTTATTTTAGTCTTTAAAAAGAGAATGTTACATAATGTCTGCTGGTAAAAGCTGCGATAATAAGACTGAGAGGTTTTTCAAATTTTCAAACTTTTCTAATTCATTTTTAAGAGTTTTGTACTTACAAAATTGCGAACATACCTTGCGAACTGTAACGAAAAAAACGATGACGTAAACAATGTAGTATCTAAACAGACTGACTAACAACATGTCCTTCTATATGTATACGTTTTAAAATCCTAAATTATAAGAATTTTTCTAAATCCGTAATTATATCTATTTTCAAAATATAAAAAATCGACGGCATATCACTAACTTATTGAATGATAACGGTTCAGCAACTATATAATATCCTTGCCATATCAAAAAAATGAAGACAAACCTCATCGTAACTACGCACCTTTGAGTTTTTTTATAGAAGGATCAACTATTGTGAAAATTCTCTATTGTCCCTTTCAAAATATTAAAATATCGTCATCATATTACCTATGCTACTTATATAAATATAAAAAAATATGCATAGATATAAAATTTGACGTATCAATTATGTGTGATAGATGACCAATAACTTAGTAGATTCATTGGATTTAAAATATGAAATATTTATATTATTATAATATCTATAGATATTAAAAAAAAAACAATCTATATTAACTCTCAACATAAAATGTTCTCGGAAAAATAAATAAATTTTATTATCTAGGATGGTAGTGCAAAAAATTTAATTATAATTATTGTAAAATCAATACTTATTCAAAATTATAAGTGTTTAGATTTGTGTATTAAATATTCTAGTTTAGTGAATGTTGCAATATAGAAAAATGTTTCATTGCTATTAGTGGTCCACACTTTTTACTTTTTTACTTCTAAAGAACTGTGTGGCTGTGACATTATTTTCTCAATTTTATTATTTGAGTCTACTTGCTTTATATTTAAAGTTATTTTTAAATTTTTGAATCGAATTGCAATCAATGACAATATAATCAAACTTATGAAAGATTAAAATATAAATACATAGTTATGTACCAATATATTAGGTCATACTAAATTATTTTGCTACTCCAAATAGTTCACTGTTTACCTTTATTTCTCCCGCGTACGAAATTCTAAATCTAAATCATTTATAAATTTTATTTTAAAGAAAATTATTTACAGGGAGCCTTTAGCACTACATCACTTAGAAAATATATACTATCTAATATTATACAAAGTATCAAACAGAATATTGTATTGATTGTTAGAGTAATACCTATATTATAACTAAGTAACTGTGACACTAAACATGTTATTGTACTCTGTGTTCGTAAAACTTCATAACAACTGTATCAGATCTTATAGGAAATAGAGAGTAGTTTGTAGAAATAAACACAAAATGCCTTCAATGGATAACCGCATATAGAACACAACTGTATCAATTCGTAAATAAATCTGCTTGAAAAAAGTAATATTATTGTTTGATTTTTGTCTTTGACTTTTGTCTGAAACCAACAACACTCAAATATCGACCCAAGGCCCTGGAAAGTACAATAGGTGCCCATAGCAGGAGCTTGAGCAGTAAAAAAATTGTAGGAGTCCTCGATGATCATAGGTGCTTCATGCGGCAGTAGGATACAAAGAAATCACTTAGGATGCAAGCCCAAAAATATTAAAATAATATGAATAACGATTTTCAGGATACGACAGTTATTTAAGACTGGTTGACTTCAAAACCTTACTCTAAACTAAAGGTCCTAGCCAAAAAATAACGAATATTTCAAAACTCCTTAGACGCACGCTCAACGTAAAACACCATTTACTGGGCTAGCAAGTCGTAACGATACTACCTATATAAAATCACGAACAAGGCCAGTTGTCCCGACGGAATCCCGGCCGTGGTTTTAAATCCTGTGCGCCTGATTTGTCTCCAATCCTGACACGTCAGTTTCGCCTTTCCTTGGTGAGTGGTCTAGTGCCGGTTGCAAGGAAGCTGGCCAACGTGCAGCCTGTGCCCAAAAAAGGTAGTCGTGCCGACACTAATAATTACCGCCCTATCACGTCTATTCTCTGCAAGAGTATGGAACGTGTACTGTAACAATACACTCCTGGCATAACTTGAAGGTAACGATCACTTCAGCAATCGGCAATACTGGTTTCTATGTAACCGATCTACTGGGGACCTTCTTGCGTATGCCACTCACATTTGGAGCGAGGCCATGGCAGGGGCTGGGGGAGGCATTGGCAGTCTCCCTCGATATTTCGAAGGCCTTTGACAGGGTATGACACGACAGGATAACTTCCTGCATATGGACTTCCATCTGATCTGTGCATATGGATAGCAGATTTCTTGAGGAATCGGTCACTACGAGTAGTCATCGATGGTTGCTCGTCTGACCAACTCGGTTTTAACGCCGGTGTATTGTAGGTACCTACTGCCGAAGTAGTGACTCCTGAGGAGGTCAGTACTTTCAGCGACGCTCTTTTTGGGACGCGTATATATACACATAACAACATAACATAACAGAGGTGCACTGCCACTGTACAATGTAACACCCACTTTTCACTATTTATGTTATGAGTACCATGTTCCCTATTGAGTCCCATGTAATCAATCAATCAATGTAATAAATCAATAGGTAATGGGCCTACCTACCCCCTATTG